GCGTTTTGGAAAGCTCTCGACATCAGTTATCAGATTCTTGAATCAAAAATAGGGTGTTCCATTTAAGAAAATCAATGTAATCTTGACCTGATCTTGGCTATGCAACCCAAGGTCAAACTGATAGGATCAGTAAAGAGATATTTTTGAACCATTTACTTTTGTCTTTACCATTGTACTTTACCATTAACTTTTGTCTGAAACACTTTTCTGTAAAACTTATATTTCCCGATATTTAGGTGTCCCGACCTTTTTGGGACACTCTGTATATATATAATAAATTAAAATAACTACATACAAATTTTTTTATTAATTGATTTTTATCAGTCATTTTTTCGATCAGCTGATTCTGCTCAACAACTAGACTTTTTATATTGCGCTGCTCTTGCTCTACTTCATATTTATTATTTAACTCCTACAATTAGGACACATATACTGGAACAGACATGGGGTAAATTTAATTAATATAATTGCGCATAGAATAAGTGAGAGATGAAAGAAAAACAAAAAAAGACTTAGTATTTAAATTATTATTATTATGTTCACAGAGGGTCTTGAGAGACAAGGAAGATTTACCAGCTACCAGAGTAGAACCAGTTGACGGTACCCTTTTTTGGCTGCTCGATCAAGAAGCGGGCAGGCTATTCGACTCAGACTGAGAACTGCGAGGTGGAATAAGATAAGACTATACAAGATTTACATAGTTTTTATGACATTCCATATTATATTACTATGATCATCTTGTAATTCTATTTGGTCTCTAAAGTTTTCGTTAGTTCTATATTTTAGCGTGTTTTTTTTTCATTACAATTTACCATTAAATCGATAGAATATTTGAATAAGCGTTATATGCTCGTACCAAAGGCGTGCGAAAACGACTCGTGAGAAAATTGAAAATTCAATTTTCGACTGATATTGCTCAACAATGTCGTTTATACATAAAAAAAATGTGCAAACTTTGTTATCGTAAACTAATCTGCATAATGTAAAAAGACAATATTTAATAAGAAAGTAATAAATATTTTGCATCTTCAAGAAAATATATAATTTAATAACAAAAATAAAAATTAAGGAAATAATTTAATTCCTTAATCTTCAAAGAGGAGAATTATTCATAAAAAAAAATAGAGTGCAAACTAACATAAATATTTGGGGATATCATTATTTTATTATGAATCTTTGAAAAGGAAAAGAATAAATTAAATCTGAAAAGTTTTAAAACAAATTCAAGCTAATACAATATAAAGCAAAGACCCAAAGAGATCTGCCATAAACTTCTAGCCTACTACGACTGAGATTCTCCATTCTTGTTTGTGTTAGTTTCTCTTATTCTCTTTCTTTCCTCTTTCGCTATCTTGAAGGAAATCTCTTAATTCAACCTTCCTTCCCTTCACTTCTAGCACTTTCAGTCCTTTCTTTCGAGTTGAAAAATGTTTAAAAAATCGTTATTTTAATTTTTGTATTTTTATCTTTGTTATTGTAAGATTTATTAAGTTTAAGAATGTTGAGTAGCAGCTTAACAAAGGTGTTTTCTTCCGCAGATATTTGCAGAAGTAAACTTATACAAATAGACATACACAACCGTAACATCTTTTGTGATATACAATAAAATTAAGAAAAATGTTCTAAATAAAGCGAAATATTGACATATTTATGATTATGTTGTCATTCATAATATAATACATATCTTATTCTAATATTTTAAGGAATGATGTAATTAATGTAAAAAAGATTTTGATAATACAAATTCGAATACTTATCATTAAAGCTATAAAATTGTACTTTTGGATTAGTTAGATCAATTATTTTATTTATATTTTTAAATTATTTTTTATTCTAGTTTGTGATTTTATTTAATTGTCTACATATCGAGATCTGACAATAACACAAATTTGTAACAGCAGTTACACCTTATTATTGAATTGGTGGCCTATTCTCAAAAAATCTCGCTTACGAAATTGTATAAAAATACTGTAGTATACTATAGATTTATAGTATTTTCGTATGAAATTTTTCAAAAATAAGGCCCCTGGAGTGTAGCTTCTTTTTATGTAATATTTACGAGAGATGCTGTGATTCACAGCGTTTCGTTTAGCCTCGTAACGAGTTAACGTTAGTTACGTTTACAAATTTTGTTTGTCAGATTTTGTATGAGAATTTAAGGAGTAAAAGTGAATATGTGTGATTCAAGGATTTTGAAGGTGCATAATAATTAAAGATTGCTTATGTACACAATGTTCTTTATTGTTTTGATATATTCAGTTCTGGTTCACCTCTCATTTTATTGCAAATCTGTTGTTCGAATGATCGATATAATTCGATCAATAATACAATAATTTGATGATTAAATAATAATAGTAACTATATTCGCTAGTTGTTTTTTCAAGACATCCGGTATAATAAAAACGTGCAAAAATGTGTATATGCGTGATATACTGTATTAATTTGCACGATCAATAATAAATAGCAATTAACACATACATTATATGTATACACATATAATGTGTTAATGTCACATATTTACACATATATAAATTAACATTTACACTTTTCCTATAAAAAAAAAAGTCAATCACGTCTGATTCAATAACTCATTCACGATAAATATTTCGATAAATTCACGATAAATAATCTTCCAAAATAATAATAAAGAAAAAAATGTGTAAAAAGGATTTAACTTATTAGAAAGATTAATTTCTAGTAAAAATTGCAATGTTTTTATATCATATGTTACATTTTTGTTTTTTCTTTTATATCTCGGATCCTATGTATTTGAATCGAATGAGATGAAACTAATATATTTAAACAGAATTAAATTTCTTTTTTTTCTTTCCACGATTTACCGTTATCGTTATCGCGTTCTCCACAAAGGCCATTAGTGTATTTATCGTGCATGAGTCATCGCTATTCCCCGAATATTCGTCGATAAACAACATGTGTGTCTAACTGTACATGTTTATAATACATGTAAATACATAATATACATAGTTTCGTAAGTTTCGTAAAACTTATCTAGGGGAATGAATCGTAGTAAACCGGAATATAATAGTAAATCGCAACGGCCGGTGAAATAGAGTTTATGTATATATACGAAGTACTAACAAGGTTGAGATGAAAACCGAGTGCCGCATGATTCACAACAATAGAGCAATTGTCGCCAAGTTATGTTAAAAGCTTGATCCACTAAGATACTGCTCTTTCTTTTTAATTTTCAATAAAAATCTAGAAAATAATTCACGTTTATGACAAACATTTATCATATATTTTTTTATACATAGGAGAAAAATAAATATTAAGAAGATCTAAAACTAATTTAACTAGCTCTGTATAAGAATTTTATGCTGAATGCTATTATATACATGTACGCATATGAGTGTGTTCATTATTTTTTACCGATTATTTTAGGATTCTCCAATTTATTTTTCTCCTATTAATAAAAAATATAGAATATAAATAAAGAATTTTCTATATCACATTGTAGAACATTTAAAAAGTTATGAAAAAGTGTAAAATAAAATTTTAGTTATATTTTTTGTTAGAAAATTTTATATTTTATAACAAAATACAATACATTAAAAAAAATTATAAATATAAGATTTCATTCCATTCAGCATAAACAACTGCCTTCTCGTTTCAATTATATTTTTCTTTTATTACAATTTGTTTTCCATTATGTAAGTCTATTTAAAAAAGTCTATTAAAATTAAAAAAGATATATATATATATAAAATTATGTTTATAAATTTTAAAGATAAAGTTCCAGAAAAGTATTATTTTATAGCAAAATTACACAAAAAATGTTTATTTCATACAAAATGCTTTGTGTCTCAATGGATCAAGTTACTTTACATAATCTTACGGAGTAATAATCTTGTAATTTACAATGTGACGTGTGATAAATCATGCGGAAAAGTTTACAGTCATATACATATCACAGTGTCAATGTATAACTCGATCCTCCATCCTCCCAATTAAAGCGGAAACCGTTAGGTCGGCATAAAATCACTTTTACATATCATAACAAAACGTATTTTTGCTGGTACTCTCAAGTCAGAATTTAAGTTCATAATTTTTTATTTCTGGAATAATTTTAATGATACACAAACACATAAAATATTATTTCTTAATTGATCAGTAATATCACATAATATTATATAATTACTATTTTATACTTTTACGAAGTTATAATAAAAAATCAAGTTTTTTAATATATTTTTGACCTAAATTATAATTATAGAGCAAATTTATGCTAATTTGTTTAATATGCAAATTCTTGAAACTGACTGTAGATGCTGACTTGAACAACTTCCATCGATAAAATACGTTTTTACATTAAATAATAATCGAGAACTGGCCTTTCCTCCTTTGATCGCTGACCACTCAAAACTTGCTCGTATTTGTTTACAACAAATCCTACACATAATACTTTTCTTTTACACGCAAGACATTCTTTGTACTGTATTTACTCGCTGAAATAAAGCATCGTTGCGTTATAATAACAATCTTTACAGTAGCAATTGCTAGAAAATTGATAATTATAATCTTTTGATTCGCACTAGTTTCATCTAATTTATTAATATTAAAATATTAAAAATATATTAGAATCTTAATAAATTATTAAAAAAAACTGCGAGATAGAATGCTCGGTTGATCGAAGTTTCTCATGTTAGCGATAACAATAAATAAACACCGCCATTTTCTTTCTTCTTTATTCGTCTTTTTCTTCTTTAAGGAAAGACGAACGAATGCGTTTCATCACCAAACGTTCATTCGCCATGTCGATTACTTATAACGTGAGTAGAGAGAAAGAGAGAGAGAGAGGAATAGAGAAAGAGAGGAAAAAGAGAGAATAAGTTAGTCAATTGAATTAATCAGTCACCTAGCGTTCATGTTCATCACGTCATGTTGACGCCTAACGCCTGCCGGAAATGCTCATATACTACGTAGCTAATAGATACGGCAGGTGCAACCTGTGAAAGAAATATCAATTTTTGCATTTTAGTAATAGTCAAGCTATGTAAATACGAATTTAACAATTTTTATCTCTAATTTACAACGACTGTTATTATATCTATATCGTGTTAAGAAACAAAATTAATATCAGTTAACTATAATATTTATACAGTCGAACCTCGATGACTCAAACCTCTATAACTCGAAAACTACTCGAATTTTTTCCTTTAAAAGCCATTATAATTGGAAAATTATAAACTCTCGTACAAAGCTTCCGTAAGTCGAATTTTCGTGTCAATTCTCTTTTACTCAAAATTTGAGTTAAGTCGAAACTTCTATAACTCGAAGATTTTTATAGCTCCTCACTTGAGACTCGAGTTATCGAGGTTCGAGCTGTATAAAGCTTCGTAATAAATCAAGCAAGTTTCTAGAAATTTCGTTATAGAAATAAAAAAAAAAAATCCTTTAAAAGTCAATGTAATTCATTTATCGACATTCACGTACCTTGAGAAAATTAGGCGTGAGGCCGCGATACAGGCCGCGTATTCCCTCGCGGCTGAGGATGTCTTTGAAGACGCCAATCATGGTGTTGCGATCGGGCGCAATCTCGGCCTGCAGTCGCGTCCGCACTAACGCTAGCGGATACGAGCATACTTGGCCGGCCGTGCTCGACGCGGTGCCACACAGCAGTAAGATCCAAAATGCTGGCTGTTCCTTCTTGTCATGCGTACGTAAGTAAGTATTCTTCAGCGTCTGCAAACATATCCTCATTTCAAATGACGGTCGAGAACGCAATCGCTGGAAAAGCTTGTAGATTTTATCTTCGACTCACTATTCTATTACATATTGAATTGAACTATATAAATTTAATTTCACGTAAATATCGCATTACTGTTAATAGTCATGAAGTCAAAAATAATATCAAACCTTCTTTTTGGTATCGACTTACTTCGTAGACGGCTAAATCGATGCCGGCGTAGGGAAGGATTCCTATTAAATTAGGTATATAGCCTCTGTAGAAGGACTTCAAACCACCCTGTCTGTATATTTTCTTAGCTGCGTCAACCAGGCCTGCAAATTCGCCCGTTTTTCGTAAAGCGAGTCTCGTCTTCAGCACCTGCAAATTTGTCGTGCACTTTTACTCTTTGTAATTTCATTCTATAACACAATAATTTCTTATTACATATAACTCAATCTTTATTCTTTATTGCATCGCAAGGTTGACCACGTTAGTTACCATCCGGTAACAATTAAAAAATAATTGCACATTATCTACATTGAAATAACATAATGATGAGAACCACCAGAGTGTACAAGAAATTCGCGTCTCATATCTGACGTCGTGAATGTCAATTCACTGGTAAGGAAGCATAAATCAGAAGATAAGTGGATACGACACCGTACCTCGAGGGGATAGATGGCCGATTGACTGATGCCACCGGCCATGGAGCCGGCACAAAATCGCTCATAGAGTTCGAGCTCGCGCGCCTCATTGTCCGCCTTGATCGCCCGCTTCACTTGCTCGTACGCCATAAACTTGAGCGCTGTCTCCGGGCCGATCTTGAGCACGTTAATGCCATTGCCGCGCCACAGGCTGCTAATGCCACCCTCGCGCAACATGTACCTGAAGCAACTCATGATATTGCAGTGTCGTGTGCCGTGGACCTGCAAGGACGATCGGACGATTCTCTCGTCGTATTAAAGTAAACTAGACAAATTTGCTCGCTCGCACGTCGACATGTCGTCATAAGCGAATCGTTTTTCGCACAATATATAGTACAATTATAATATAATTATAATAATTTATAATATATTATAATTTTCAAGATTTTATTATTTAACATATATAATACAGTAATTACTCAAAAGAATTAATATGCAACCTGTTTTTAGTAATATTTAATAATATACAGATTATATCTTTTAAAATTATAACATATAATCCATAAAAAATGTGTATATTAATGTGTAGTAAATTTGATAAAAATAAATTCAGAAATTTATAAAGATTTATCAGGTAAATTGAGGGAGAGTCATGCAAATGCTTACTTGTAGATAGACTTTGATACGATCTAGGGGCGCGGTGCAAGTACGCGATACCGCACCCGCTATTCCGCCAGATACTAAATGTCGCCACCACATTCCCGACACCATCTCGCCCTTCGTGAACTCTTCGGGGACGCCGATGTCCTCCCCAATATCCATATACTGTAAATAAGAAAAGAAATTGTTCATAATTATCAAATCAAATTATCGATCAAATTAAAATTATTAAATCATTCAGTATAGATGTAAGCTTAGTGTAGAGAATTTTATTACTAATAAAAATAACCGATATTATTAATAAAAATAACTGTAGAAGTACAACTTCATTAACTTTGTCTACTTTTTTTTTATTTCATTCATGGAGTCGATCGATTTAGCTTCCGATAAGCTCAAATAATATGCATATTATTATCACATTTGCGTCATCTACATACATAATATGTCATCATAATCATATATGTAGCGTATGGTATGTAACATATATGTATGTGGCATTTACACACTTATTCACGTAAATATGTTTGAACAAGTCGGTTTCAGTTTTGTGAAATAAATAATTAATTTAATTCTATGTAAGTTTATACTAATGAAAATACGAATAAAATGTTGTACGTTAATAAAAGATTTATAAGAAGCAAGCCATCCCTTTAAAATTAATATCAGCTGCAGAATTAAACAATAGAACGTTAATCCTAACTATAGTATATATATTTAATTAATATAACTGTATAAATGTATAATAATTTAATCCAAGTTACGTTTAATCTCTCCAATAACATTTACGACAATAGTTTAAGAATACATAGTTTTTTGTACATTCCGTCTGTCTATATCATTTATTCTATTTTTGTTGCGAAATTCTTATTTTTAGAAACATTTTTGCTTATCTGTTTTCGAGCAAGCAATTACAGCTGCGTTCCAATATTTATTCTGCCAGTGCTGAAAACCTATAATGCACGCAACGTTTGATATATTTTCAGCACTGACAATGAATATCAAAACGCAACCTTTGACTGACCCTTAATGCAAACATCGATCGATCAGATGATAAGATTATTGCCGGCTACCTTTTTCTTGTATTCCACACGCGTACACACCGCACATGTATGTGGGATCACTTGAATCGCTTATCGATCGCGGATATGAAGTATTGTACTGTTGCGTTTCGACGAAGGTAATCGGTACCCGTATACAATGGCTACTATTGTGTTACAAATACTTTCTTACAAAACTAACGCGTATTGTAATTCAAAGCCTGGATATATCTTATCCGCGAATCAACGTTTGTGATAAGAACCTTTTTTATTTAGTTAAACATACTTTTATTTTTATAAGTTTCAATATTTCTACATACTTTTAACACAGTATTCAATCGTTTATGCAGCAATATAAATTATTTTTATGCAAATATTCAATAATACTACTTGAACATTTTATAAAGCAAAGATATTACTTGATAAATCAGCGTTATTCAAGATTATTACATTTATAAAAATTAATATAAATAAATAGCACAATAAAATAAAAATTTTAATATGTAAATATTTAAATTTCTCTTCTTTTCCCGCCACATAAAATTTTACCAACATAGCATAAAAATCGAGATTGCTGTATCATCCATGGTGTACACTTTTGAACTTTACATCATAAATGTTACGTCACATTTATTTTCACAAATAAAACTTGGATTCTATCGGTCCAATTTGCCCTTTAAATTCTCTTTTTAAATGACATTTTAATCGTTATAATCTGTACGCTGCTAGTATCTTAACATAAGTGGGTCCATAATCTTTTATTTATTTTTTAAGTAAAACTGATAGAAACCTGCAGATAAGCGTACTTTAAAAATTAAAGCGTAGTTTTTACAAGTCACCGTTATATATAGAGCTCGCATTGTCGAGTCCAATTTAAACTATTGGATTTGAAGTTTATTTGTTTGTTTGGTCTATACCTCCTTCAGCTAATCTCGCAGTCATAACCTGTGACGTAATAATTTTGCGAAATCACGAACGGGCCTGGTGCTCGCGTGAAGACGACGGATCGTCATTGCAATATACTCGGTAATGATACGTAAGTGGAAGTAGAATGTTCCCGAGTAAAGTGACTCGCGAATCGTCAAACTATCAAAAGTCGACTGGCGAACTAAAAAGATGTTCTCCCAGCATCCTCTTGGCCCGACTGCGGGCGACGAGCCAGACAATCTACACTATCTACAGGTATAATACTCTAGGTCTGTTTCTTCTGAAGCTACAGTTTCCTCGTACTCTCAAAATAAAGCAGATGTACCGGAGGTAAAAAACTGAGAGAAAGATATGTAAAATATATCCCGCACGTTTGAATCATGCCGGTTCTTTGGACTTAGTTTTGGAGTCGTGTTTCTTTTGGCGGAGTCTTTATTTATTACCATTATCATGTCACTGCGATGTCAATAATTCAAAAATTTACTAGGAATTAAATAAATTAAAGAAAAATTAAGTAGGAATCAATGAAATCGCTATCGAAATCTGCAGACTAAAAATAATGATTAATAGATGCAGCAGACATATTCAACTGCATGCATATACTTGACGAGTTTTGAACTTCAATTTATGTATAAATATTTAATGTATATGTATATGTGCGTGTGCATGTATAATACCCCATCTTTATAATGCTCATTTCAATATAGGCCGACTTTAATCTCTCTCGGTTTAACTTTATTCTTTATCTTCTTCTAATTCTAAGAACTAGACAAAGATAAAGAGTAAATTAGATCAAGATTAAATTTCTCTACTTCTAATATATCGATACACTTATCGATAATAGAAATAGGCTTTAGTAAAAGATAAAGAATAAAAGTTAAAGCGAGAGTTAAAGTTAATCTACATAGAGACGACGAGCGTATGAAGGCTCGAGACGAATTCTCGAGATTCCAGAATCACTTTCGCTCTCTAACGCCTCATGACGACCTTGCGTCGCACACCTGTGCGCGCTTTCTTTTTCCATTCGAAACGGAACACCTCGGTGAACTTGGGTGGCCACGATCGGATATCAGCGATCGCCCCCCCCCTCCCCCCCCCCTCTTTCGTCGCTCTCAACTCACCCGTTGCAAGAGCTCATGGTAGCGCTGCAGAAATTCCTCGCGCACTTGACACGCGGATAGAGTGCTATCATGCTGGAGAAATCTCGGCTTCTTCAGGGCATACATGCTGCGCGGTTCAATCAGCTGTAATCGCAAATCATGTGGTCGCGCACACGCTCGTCGCATGAAGTCGGCCACTGCTGCTCGCTCTCACTCCTTGAAAAATTCAGCCGCGCGTTTCTCTTTCCTTTTATCTTCCTTTCTAGAGCTTTCAAAATACTTCTCTCCCTTCCAATTCGTTCTATTCTTCTTCCGTTTTCCTTCTCTTCCGCTTCTAATTTTTTTTTTTTTTTCGTTCGTTTTTTCCCTTTAATTTTCTCTTCCTATGTCTCGTTCGACCTTTATGGAAAAGAAATCTTCTGCTTCACTTTTATCGTACTCACTTTATTCAATTATACAATTGAAGCTTCTAAAATTGTATCTTCGTTTTGTATATGGTTTAGCTTCTTTGGCCTTGTTCGATCTCTCCTTCCCTCTTTTATCGTATCTAACTATACATATTTACTAATATATGCTTGAGTCACGTTGGGTCGCTAAAATCACACTTCCCCTAGCTCTTCCGTCGAACGTCGGCCGCGCTTGCAAACGCTCGTGCCTCACTCGCGTTTAACGAGAAGAGAACTTACGAGAAATCCGCACTTTCGCGGACTTTCGAACTTTCTATCCAGCAACGAAATGTCCACGCGCCTCCGATCAGGGTTGCGCAAATTCTCGACAATTCCCCTCCTCCCGTTCTTCTCTCGGTATCTTTAGATCGCGCGCGGACCCGGCGACCTAGCCGGAATCACTCGGAATGATCTGGCGGTCCAAAAATCAGCCGGCAGCCGTGATCGTGTGACCGTATACGATCACTGCGAGATCCGGAGGACGAGCTGACGACGCACGTGGCCGAGGAGAGAGAATATTGTATGTGTGTATGTACTGCGCGCTCAGGTCCAGTCTTGACCGGTCTTAAACGGCGACAACGGGGAGGGGAAGAGAGGAGACGAGCGCTACGAACCGACGACGATTCGAACGCTCGGAGTCTGGTTGCGAGACTAGCGAGACGGAGCGAGCACGAGGAGGAAAAACCCTGAGACGACACGGAGATATCGGGGCCCCCCCTCTCCAAAGAGCGGGGAACCGCCTCCGTCTGCTAGTACAGCTAGTCTGCCTCCTCCTCCTCCTCGCTTTCCTCTCGTCATTCACCGTCGACGTCAGAGACAACGCGCGTCATCGAGGCAAATACCCGCGCGATGACGATCAAAGTCGGCGCGGCCCGAGTTGCGTGTGCACGGTGCAAAGTTTACCCGGCACCGTGCCGATGGTATGGCAAACTTATTAAGTTGTCAATTGCACTCTCGCCACTTTGATTCTTCGCATGTGCGGGGTACACAGTATAATACTAATTATAGAACTGCTATACAAATCGAGTAAGATTGCACACTTATATGGGGTGTTTCTGAACTCAGTTTAGCGCTGAATGGCTTTAGCATGTGGAAGACAAGTCGAGAATGCCTGATAAACATATGTCCAATCTTGAACAGTTTCGGAGTTACGGGATATTAAAATTGTTTTCGTAAGGATATATGAACTGAAGTAAACGAAAGATCTATAAGAATGAGATTTAGGATTTCAGAATACACAGTATATCCCGGTGAAAAGATGACTGGTTCTATCTCTATAAGCAGCGCCATTTCTGAGTAGTGAAACATTTTCAGCTATCATCAACAAAAGTTTCAAGAGGCCAGCCAGCGTGTCTGGTTTATGAATTGTGACAGTACCTAATTATAGAGCTGCTATACAAATCGATTAAGATTGTACACTTTATACGGGGTGTTTCTGAACTCAGTTTAGCGCTGAATGGCTTTAGCACGTGGAAGACAAGTCGAGAATGCCTGATAAACATATGTCCAATCTTGAACAGTTTCGGAGTTACGGGATATTAAAATTGTTTTCGTAAGGATATATGAACTGAAGTAAACGAAAAAACTAGAATGAGATTTAGGATATCAGAATACATAGTATATCCCGGTAAAAAGATGACTGGTTCTATCTCTATAAGCAGCGCCATTTCTGAGTAGTGAAACATTTTCAGTTATCATCAACAAAAGTTTCAAGACGCCAGCTAGCGTGTCTGGTTTATGGCATGTGACAGTACCTAATTATAGAGTTGTTATACAAATCGATTAAGATTGTACACTTTATACGGGGTGTTTCTGAACTCAGTTTAACGCTGAATGGCTTTAGCACGTGGAAAACAAGTCGAGAATACCTGATAAACATATGTCCAATCTTAAACAGTTTCAGAGTTACGGGATATTAAAATTGTTTTCGTAAGAATATATGAACTGAAGTAAACGAAAGATCTAGAACGAGATTTAGGATTGCAGAATACATAGTGAAAAAGTGATTGGTTCTATCTCTAAGCTGCAGCAACCATTTCTGAGTAGTGACACATTTTAGCTATCATCATCAAAAATTTCAAAGCGCCAGTGTGTCTGGTTTATGAATTATGATATGTGACAGTAACTTTTGTTGAAAAAACATGATGGAACAACGCGAACATTAAAGAGTGACCCAAAAAAAGAAGAGTTTTTCGCCCGTTTGTTTGGGCCCTCGATTTTGGGAACTGTGTACTTTATAATTTAATCACAGAGAAGTTTAAAGTTGAAGTGACAATTGTTATTAGAGCTGGAAGGGTGAGGTCACATAACACGTATATTACTATAGTTTTAAAAAAACTGCTTTTTTTTGGAAAAACACCAGAAAAATTTCGGTTTTTTCCCGAAAAATTGGTTTTTTTTACAAAAAATTGCTATGTAAACGATATACTATCTAATTTTTAATATTTTTCATCATATTAAATATTAATTGGAATTCAGAAAGTAATGTAAATGATTTATTTTAATTTGCTCGTTAAAATGTGTAAATTTGTTGTTTAAATTAAATATAAACTTATATCTCTTATAAGTTAATACTCGTATTTTATAGTATTATTAAAATATACTCGTATTTTATTAAAATAAGACATCTCGTATAAACGCTGGAATTAATAATGTGTTAATTTTTATGTTTATATTTAAATACTATATTCCTTGAAGTGAGGATTATTTATTATTATATAAACTGTTTTAGGAAAGGCAATTCTAACAACTAGTATAAAGATTAAGGCGATCCGGAAAGTCGGAAAAATTTGCACGAGGTCGATAAAGTAGACCCAAACAGCACAAGGACGTCTCAAGGACGTCCCCAGGACGTCCAGGACGGGATTTGAGGACATCCTCAGGAGGTCCTATTAGATCGGAAGAGCA